GAATAGAATAGAATAGAATAGAATAGAATAGAATAGAATAGAATAGAGCTGGAGGTCTTGGAGGTCTTCTAGTCCATCCCCTGTTCAAGCAGGAGAACCTATACTATTTCAGATAAGTGGCTGTCTAGTCTCTTCTTAAAATCCTCCAGTGATGGAGTGCCCACAATTTCTGAAGGCAAGCTAATCCAATGGGTTAATTGTCCTCTCTGTTAGGAAGTTTCTCCTTAATTCCAAGTTGCTTCTCTCTTTGGTTAGTTTCCAACCATTGTTTCTTGTTCTATCCTCTGGTGCTTTGTAGAATAATCTTCTTCGTGGCAGCCCCTCAAACACTGGAATACTGCTATCATGTTGCCCCTAATTCTTCTTTTCTTTAGATGAGTCAAGCCCAAATCTTGCAGCCTTTCTTCATATATTTTAGTCTCCAGGCCTTTGATCATCTTACTTTCTCTTCCCTGAACATTTTTCAAGGTCTCAATATCTTTTTTATAGTATGGTGACCAAAATTGGTTGCAATATTCCAGGTGTGGTCTTACTAGGGTTTTATAAAGCGATACTAATATTTCACATGATCTTGATCCTATGCCTCTTTTTATACAACCCTGGATTGTATTAGCTTATCTTCCCTCTATCTTTTAGGAGAGTCCCTAATAAAATCCCAAACTGCCTCAATACCTGACTGAACCTAATTTGAAAGTCTGTGGGCTTCTTTCCAGTCCATCTCAAGGCTGGAAATTAAATGCAGACTTCATGGCTTAAGCGCCGGTCACTTTTCCTATGTCCCTCTTTCTTTTCTTTGTCATTTTTTTTCTCCCTGAAAAGTTCTGAAGAGTAATTTGAAAATTGCGTGCAATTTTGTGACCCTTTCTCAGAAAATGACATTTTGTGTAAGGATAATGCCTAATACGGTTCTCGGAAAGGGTTTAACTAAGGGCAATATCTGATGCTGTGCTTGCTTATGTGTTTCTTCTCTGCATGAGGAAGTAAAGAATCTGTTTCAAAGATCTGCCATCTTCTTACAATCC